CTCATCCCCCGTTTCCACGCTTTCCACTAGATCATCGATTGCCCAAGAATTAAGCATGTGCTTCATTCCCTCATTTGCATGTGTCAGCGGAGTTGTTTACAACACAGAACGTGGGGAAGAAATGAACGTTCGAGTTTGGAGAATCCACTGGGAAATTAGGCTTAAAGATGACGAATAGAACACACACCGATGAAAGGAAAATGGTGCAACTTTGTTATTTGGTGGTTGTGTTATATCTATGTTTATATTTATGTTTATCAATCTGAGTACGTTAGTATGGTCAGGTGAGTAAGCACTAGAGAAGTCGCACTGTACTTTGGCTTTTAAGGCGCGGGGGTGCGACCACACAGGATTTTTTAGGCGCACAGCCAAAAATCTAGTCGCATATGCGACCAGTTGGTCGTTAACTATGAGCCCTGGACACATTGAAAGTCTGATTTAATTAAATTGCACTTTAACTTGGTGCCACGCAGTCTTTTGTAAGTACATTTGAGCAGTTTTGATACTTTTTACGTTTAAAAATATCGGACTGAAAAGAATGTCATAAAATGCCCATCAAATAAAAATAAACTGCTACTGCAGAGACGTAAAAACCGTCCAGAAATGAAAGCTTNCACACCGATGAAAGGAAAATGGTGCAACTTTGTTATTTGGTGCCTGGTTGTGTTATATCTATGTTTATATTTATATTTATCAATCTGAGTATGTTATTATGGTCAGGTGAGTAAGCACTAGAGAAGTCGCACTGTACTTTGGCTTTTAAGGCGTGGGGGTGCGACCACACATGATTTTTTAGGCGCACAGCCGAAAATCTAGTCACATATGCGACCAGTTGGTCGTTAACTTTGAGCCCTGTAGCAGTCTGCTGAAAAACTGAAAATTATCAGTTGCGGCATGATTCCTTTTAAAAGTACATGTATGTTGATTGTGCATCATTCTGTTAAACATTGTAAATGTAGCTAGTATACATCAAATTCCAGTCAAACAGAGGAAGAAATATTACAAATGAACACAACATAACTAGAAATTCCAACTGGCAGAAGGCAATGAGTTGGCTTTTTACAAAGTGTAAACAAGTACAGTGGGGTGAACTTTGGAGTAGTGAGTCTGGGAATAGATCAAGGTAGTGGTGGAGTGGATATCATGAACTGTGCAACTCTGGACTGTAAGACCAACATCCTTAACCATTTGGTCATGGAGTATCCTTGTCCTTGTATAACAGAAAATACAGTAAAATACATGAGTCCTTTTAATATCACTGATAATTTCTCTCATTTCTAGGAACACTTGGATGAATACGAAGTTGAAAAGGTGAGGCTTCCTTTTGTGTTGGTGCTGATTTTAATTCATTAATTTCAACTCTTTGTCTGCAAGTTCTGTGTACTGTAACACAACAGATGTATTGAATGCAAGCACTACTTACCTGGTATTGATAAAAATGTGTAGTCATGTCATTCATGAACTATATGTCCCTTTTTGGAATGGGGGGATGGGACTACATTTGTATGCTTTTCAACTGCTTCATAAACTTACCATCGAGATCACTCTCTATACATCACCACATATCTCTATTAATTCCAAGGAGGGTAGAAAATTAATTGCATTTCTTAACTCTTTTAGCACTTGTTTTGTGATGTGGTTTATCGTAGCATGTACATGAATGGGGTGACGGTGGATGGCACCTCTCCTTGGGAATTTTCATTGTTGTAAGATGAGTATTTTCTCTTCTTTTATTTTAGCAAGAGTACAATGAGGCAATGAAAGCTTACCACAACTCTCCAGCTTATCAAGCATGGATTGTGGCAAAAGGAAGAGGTACGTCATGTTTCTTACTGCTTTTTGTTGGTTTAATTTGCTGTGTATTTGTGTTCTAGCTCTACGCACTTTAAAACTATACCCATTCATAAAAATCAGAAAGAATTCATGGCTGCTTTTTCTTCAGCTGCTTTTGTTTTATTTATTTTGAAAAATTATGTGACTCAACATTTCTGACAACTGGTTATCTGACTTTCGTGCATCAAAGTAAATTATGTCAAAATGTTACAGTATACCACTGAAATGTTTGTGATGTCTTTACTATACTTGCCAGCAGCATGGCCAAGTGGTTAGGGTGCTGAACTTGAAATCTAGAGGTCGCGGGTTCAAGTCCTGCTTTGACCACTATGCTGTGGAGTTGTTTCTTGGTAGACCCTAGTTTAACTCCTTGGCCATGCTTGTTAATAGCCAACTGGTCTGTTTCCTGTCAGTTGGGATTTTAAACCATGTTATATTCATTTGCATTATTTGTTTTATCATTTGGTTTCATTGGCCATGAAAATCCCCATTGGGGGAGTGGCCATTTAAGATATTTACATTGATTTATTTAGGCTTAGTGAAGACCATAGAAATATTAATATCTCTTTATAAATTTCTCTCTCTCTCTTCCTTGTGTAAACAAATTTAAATGTATGGATGTTTTGAATAACAGACAATTTCAATGATAAATGTCTCTTTTTCTTCCAGCACAAGCTGCTCTTCAAGAACAGCAAGCAATGGAAAGAGCCATGATGGGTTCTATGCCTTTTGGGGTGAGTCATTTTGCATGAGTAACCTTCATTTTACTTCAGAGAGTGGTCAGCCATGCAAATAACTGAACCTGCTTCACTACTCTGGAAGTACATGTATGATTGAACCACCAAGTTATTGGGGGTGACATTCATCATTCAAGTAATTGGAGGTTTGTGCAGTGGGGGAGGGGAGGGGAGTGACAAGTGATGGACTACAAAGCATCCCACTATCTGGAGGGGGGGGGGGGGTATCCATCTTGGAGATGACATTTCTTGTTGAAAACACCCTAACCAGACAACTGTGGTATGGTAATTCTGATTGAGCAAAGATAATTGGACACTCTTACTAATGATTCTGCTGCAAGGATTCACCGTTGCGAATGTCATCTCTCTTTTATAATGTCTTGTTATGTTATCTATTTTAATGACATTTTCGAACATTTCTGTCGACAGAAACTAGATGATGCAAGGTTTGGCATTCAACCAGTGGATGATGATGATGGTAATTAAACTATAACCACAATGTGTACTTCTCTAAATAGGCAGGAGAAGCAATATGTGGAAATTTGTATAAGGCCACTTTAGAACAATAAGCAGAATCGTCATAAAAACGTACAGAAAAGTTCTAAAATCTTCAAACGTAACATACCCTATGTCCTTAGCACAGGGACAAATATTGCAAAATAGGGCTTTCCTTGTACTTTATGGGATGTGTAAGGCTCACATGGTATGTTTAAGTTAGTATGATAACTGTTTATAGTTTCTGCTAACTCAGTAAATGTAGAAATGTTGATGTAGATGATCTTTTTTATTCGGAGGATTTTGAGACCGAGTCTTCAGATAGGGGAGGAGTTTTTTTTTACATTTTGATTCCCTTTCTGTTTGTTATTTTCCAGAACTTTCCAATGCCTTAGATTGTAAACCTTTCTCTGATATCTCCTCGGCACCGACTTGATATGTTTTTTTTTATTATCATTATTGTTGTTTTTTCAGACGAAGATGACGCCTTCTCTGTGAAGCACATATCCGCGGCTCGGTTTCATCGAAATCACAAGTTGATGTCGGAAATATTCAGCGATACGGTGGTTAGAGACGTCAGAACAGGTCAGATGTATGAACACCCCGGGCAGATGCGCTTACTGGAAATTTAGTGCACACACGATATCCTTGATCAAGATCATTTTTAAGACCTTCTCATGTTTTGTGTTTTAGTTGTGACGAAGTCTCGTTTGGGAGTACTTAAACGCCAAGTACAGTCACTCATAGCACATCAGGTAACTCTTCGTTTCTGTTGCTCTGCTCGTTTTCGCTTTTTTGTAGAAGTAAGAAAAGTTTTCATTTCCAGTGACTTTTACTACTCACTTATTCCTCGTATATAGCGTACCAGTTATTTGGGGAAGGGCCGAGAACAGGTTATCATAATTGTACAATTGCGAATGCGATTGTACCGCTCGTTGTACCCTTATAATTTACCTTGCCACGAATTACTACCACAACTTGCTCCTGTCTGGCCTCGTTTAGTTCAGTCGGTAAAGCAACGGTTATCTTACATGGAGGCCGTGAGATCGAATCCATCCGAGGTTAAAGATTTATATCAATTAAACTGGAAGTGCACAGAAAGTCGTAACTTAATAAAGAGTTTCAATTTAAATTCCTACACAGAACAACATCAACGAATAATTCTTTGTTTAAAATCGGAAGAAAAGATGACTTTTAAAAGTGCTTTTTGCCTCAATTTGTTTTTGTTTCTTGTTTTCTTTTTGTTTTTGCCAGAAAAAGCTTGAAAGTGAGCTGCAACAGATTGAAGAGAAGTTTGAGAGCAAAAAGCGGAAGTTTATTGACGACAGCGAGAAGTTTAACGACGCCCTTAAAAAGGTACAATATTTAGTTTCTGCTTGTGTAAAGCTTTGTGAACAGAACAGGATTTTGCATATTGTAGCATCAAAAAAAAACTGGTGATTTAGTTCATTTAACCTTCTCGAACCTCCCTACGACTCAAAGGAGCAACCAAGAATAAAACTGTTTGTATCCACTAAGATCGCGAGACTAAAGGTTTGGTTAGAGACTATGATCTAGGTTTGGTTAATCCGTGGGAATGCCCAAAGTTCTAGCAAGCCAAGAACGAAACGGGGCAGAAACAAAGCGCATTATAAAGCAATTGCCAGTTGCACCTCACTGCCGCGTGAGCTCAAGAAACTTATGCCAAAAAGGATTTTAAACACAAACTGAAACAGTTTTTACTTAACCATTTTTAACCCTAGTTCGTAGTAGTATTTTTAATCGTAATTCTAGTTTTAAACCATGGGTGAAGTCTTAAGTTTTCAGGTAGTCTTTCAGTACTATTCTGTGTTTTAGACTGATTGGAGGCCTCCATAAAACATTTATGTATTGTTGTTATTATTATTACTATTATTATTGTTATTGTTGTTGTTGTTGTTGTTGTTGTTGTTGTTG